TATATTTTTAGTTGTCCAATTAATTTCTTTCCATTTTTAGTAGAGACGGGGTCTCGCTCTTGTTCAGGCTGGTCTTGAACTCCTGAGCTAAGAACGATCCGCCTGCCTCGGCCTCCCAGAGTGCTAGGATTACAGGCGTGAGCCACCGCGCCCGACCTGGCCGGGGCCCATGTTCTTAACTGCCCTGCAATGCTACCTCCCAGGTGTAGTCACAGCCCACCCCAGCACAGAAGCGCCTCACTTGCACAGTGACAACTGCTATCACCAGACACAGGGACTCTGTCTGAATGCTGGTGTGGTTCCTGTTTGTTCATGAGAACAGAGCAAAGCCAAGGTGGTGATTTTCCTTCCCAATCTGTATGCACTCAGTCATGGGGAGTTAGAGAAACACTTACAGGCTGTTTGAACATTAAGTTAACCAGGTAGATCATTGGATGTTTCACAGCCATCGTCTCTATTGACTGTCACAGTAACTCTTGAGGAATATCTTAGTCCTTTTCTTGTACCGATAAGGAAACTGAAACACAGACAGGTGGCATAATTGAAGATTGAACAGCTTACAAATGTCAGAGCTGGCATTTGGACTCAGGGCTCTCTATTTCCACAGCCCGTGCATTCCATTCCAGTCATGCCATGGAGTAGACTACAACTTTAGGGCACTGTCTACTTAGTCAATAACTATTCCTGGGTCTGTTTGGCATGCGAAGCATTGTGCTGTGCTCAGGAGAATCACAGGTGAGTCTGACATGGATCATTTTCTTAAGGTGCGCACAGTCCAAAGGGAAGATAAAGTGGGCACGCAGATAATTCTACTGCGAGGTCCAAAGAATGCGGTGCTTTAAATGGTACCTTTGTTAGCCTGGACAAGTCTCCTCTTTGCCTGGGGCTGTCCTTGCCAGGCTGGTGGGAGAATCTGGCTTGTGCTTAGGGAGGAACCCACATTTGCATTGCCTGACTTCCCTCCAACTGCAGCAGCTGGTTTGGGAGGTCCCCTTTCACCCCAGAAAGCACAGAGGCACCTGGTCCTCTAGCTCTGTTGAAAGATCTGAATGTCATCACAGGACCAGGGATTCATGGGTAAGTAATCCAGAGGTCAGGGTAGGGTGTAGTTCAAGTGCATCCCCCCACCACGCCAGGCGCTGGCTGCCTCTGTTAGAATATTGCCGTCTCTGTCTAGGCAGTAATGTTTCTGCTTCTTTTCCTCTCGCTTGAAATGCACTTGGACATTTTTTAACAAATAACACAATTTTCCCTTTGTGTTTCCCTTAATAAAACACAGAAATGAGAGCAAGAAAAGGAAAGTAAAAAAACGTGTTCCTGTCATCTCCACTCTACAACAGGATGTCCGCCCCTCCTTTTCTTCTTCCCTCCCACTGAGCATTGGTCTCTGGCTCCACGATCCCATCCGATCTGCTCTCCTCTCCCCAGATCTCAGCCACAAAGATTCACGAGTCTGATATTTTCGCTTCTCTGTTTTCTGCCATAGAAGGCTAAGCTCCACAGCTGGTCTGCACGTCTCACTCCCATCTTCTACAATTTGCTATTGGACTAAAGACAGACGATGGAGAGAACCAGCACAGGATGGGGAGAACCTCCCACTCGGAGAAGTACCCCCAGCTTACAAGGTCCCCGCACACTCTCCGGGCCCCATAGATACTCCCACTTATTGGCCTGTCTTCCTCCAGTGATGGCAGCTTCCAGAGCAACCTGGCAAAGGCCCCACATTTTCTCCCCAAAGCAAAGGACTAGGCTTGAGACATAGTTCCTGGATCTCTTGGAATCTGCTTGAAGTTGCACGATTTCTGATGTTTGGAACAGCCACCCTTCCCTTAGCAGGGATAAATGCAAGTTTCCACACTTGGATCCAAACACCAGTGGTACAAATGCAACGTGGCAGAGATGTGCCGTAGCAGCCACCCATGTGGAACAGGACTGAAGAGGTTTTGCTAGTGATACACCCCATGTGAGTCCCACAGCAGCCACTGAATGCCAGTGCAAACTCAGGCCCGTTCCTGGGTGTTACAGTGCTCGAGAAAGGTCCTGAACACACTATCACTGGAAAGTCGCAGCAAGTCCTGGTGCCATGATTTATGAGAGACCGAAAAACTGGATCAGGTTCAGAGGAAAGTGGACAGGGGGGCGAGAGCAGTGCTGCCCTCATGTGAAGGTTTTATTACTAGAAGGAGGATTTGACTTTCTGAATGGCCAGCCCTGAGGAATCAGTGGGCCACAGGGTGGAAGCTCTAGGGAAATGCATTTTGACCCATTACAAACAAAACAGTTGGACGAGATGCTCTTTAAGATCACTTCCAACTCTAAAAGTGTAATTTTTTGGGTCCCCTCAGAAGCATATTTACCTCACTTCCACGAATTCTCAGAAGGAAATTCTTCTTTCTGATAAAAGGGAGAATGCGGCTTATTCTTCATGTAGGCCTCTGGACAGTGGCTCTGTGGCAGCTTCATTCATTAAAAAGGTAAAATCGTAGCATTTGGATTTAAACCACAGGAAACCCATGAGGTATGGTCAGGAGAAGCTTTCACAGATGGGTCCTGGGGACTCACTGTCCATCCATGTCAACAAGTTGGCTAAGGCCAATTGAAACCATCCTGGGGTGGGAGTGGGATTCATGATTCCCACTTCACCAAAAGAGGTTAAATAAACAAGCTGTGTCTTGGTTGGTTTAGACACATCAGGCCAGTCTACACCTAGACAACCATTGCCCAGCACACTGCAAGGATCATTGGTTCTACAGCCAGCCTCACTGGCCAAAGCCAGTCTGATTTCACAAACTTTAGGCTGTGAAGGCCTTGCAGACCACATAGAATAGCCCCTTCATTCCAGAGAGAGGAATTGGTGTCCAGAGAAGGGCACAAAGGGCCCTCTGGACTCTGGCAGAACTGGGAATGGAACCGAGGTCCTTTAATTCCTGACACTTCACTGCAGTGCTTCCGGACCATAGTGAGAACGCCACTCATCCCCCAGCCAAGCAAATGGTATTTGTTTATCACATATATGTAACTGGCTAAAATGGTAGGGCTTATAAATGTAATTATGAGATACAGCCCCCATCCTGAAGTGCCCAATGGCCAGGTGGGGAAAGACATTCTCACCAAAAACTTGAGTGAGCTACACTAATCAGTCAGGCTGCCTTTGAGACATAAGAATTGTTAGAAAGATTTGGGTCTCAGATCACATGAGGATTTATCCACTTTCAGGATATTCACTAAAAGGAACAGTTTTACCACTAGTTAAACATATTTCATAAATTCAAGACCTTTAATGAAGCCAAAACTCTGCTGGGTATTTAAAAATATTCCTTATGGTTGTATTTGCCTTACTGCAATTTTTCTGGCCTAACTTCTACTATATATCTTATTTTTATCTTAAGAATATTCGCTATATATGTGTGTACACACACACACACACACACACATATGTATAAATACCCTGGTCTACTTGGGGTGACAGAAAGGACAAAGGTCAGGTATTAGCCATTACCCATCTGGGCAACATCAGAGAAATCTCCCAGCCATGCTAAGCTCCAAAGATTCATCTGAAACAATGGATAAAACTATTTGTTCTGCCTACCTCACAAGTTTGTTGTAAAGATCAAGCAAAGTCATGTATGTGAAAGTACCCTAAAAAGTATAAAGCAGCATTCAAATATAAAGTATTAAACTCTTTGCCATTTTCTCTTGCTGCTCTGAAGTCATATTCAGTGTTTGGCTTGCGCCTGCCGGCAGAAAGAACTTATAATGGCGAGTGGGGTCACTACTCCTAAGCACATTATGAGTGACTTGCTGCCAGCGCTTTTTTTAAAAGAGTTAGAAAGTGGTTCTGTCCTTGGAGAAGGTAGTAGAAAAACCCTTGATATGTGGCATCTCCGCTGCTATGGTTCACCTTGCCAAAGTGCCTGCCAGTTTCAATGCAGTTCATTTCAGTTTCGGAACCCAGGGTGCCCCAGAGAATCCCAGTGCATTGGCCCTTTCCATGGTATTCAGATGATGGGACATAGATTCCTCAAGCGCTGCTCCATTTCTCTGGCCTGTGATAACTGGGATAGTGATTGTCTCCACCTCATAGCGTTGCTGGGAAGATCACGCGAGTTGACTATGTAACCAAGGCTGGCACAAAATAAATGTTAGATAAACCTTAGCCAGTGTTATGATTTATTTGTTGAACGTCCACTTGGGGCCAGGCAACATGCTAACCTCCTGGGATACACAGAGGAGACCTTGTTCCTGCCCCTAGAGGGGCTAAGGGTCTGTCACTGTGAGCTAAAGTTAGGAGGTATAGGGAATTAACATCCCCCCGCCCAGGTACTTAGCTCCCCTAAGAATGCTCCCTTAGCCGACTCCTGCTCAGTGGCATTGCAGGTCCGTCATCTGGAGGTCAGAGCCCACCTAGTTTCTCCCAGGAGCCTAATTCCAGCCTTGGCCGTGGGTCCTGTGGCATCAGCGCACCCCATCAGTGAACTAGTTTCGAGCCCAAGGGAAGCTGGCAAGTTGTGAGAGCCCCCGGGTCATGAAGAAGGGTTTGAAGAGCTCGGAGCCGCTGGGGCCCGCAATCACACGCGACAAACAGCTTCTTGGTGCTTCTCGAGGCCCGGGTGAGGATTGTCGTGCTTTTATCACTTGCAGTGGTTGGAGAGGGGCGGGGAAACCTGCGGGCCCGCGCCGCGGTCCAGGTGGCGCGGAGATCTCCACTAAGGTCCAGCTGGGGCGTGGGGTCGTGGGTAGCGACGGGGCCAGGGCGCCCCGAGTTAACAGTTACCCGTGGAGGGAAGGAAACTTTTCGTGCACGGGAGGTCGCAGCGGCGGCGGAGCGCACCCGGTAGCGGCCTCGAGGTGGACCGCGCGGCCAGGCTGGGAAAGGGAGCATCGAGGCCCCGCTACTGGACGCGCTGCCAGCCCCCCGCCCCGCGCACCCCACCCCCTTCCCTCCACCGCGCACGCAGCCAGCGCCGCGGCCCCTGTCAGAAGCGGCGAGATCCGCCCCAGCGAAGCGGGGCCGACTCGCACCCAGGACCCCGGGCCTCCGCCTTCCCTCCTAGCCTCCCAGAAGCATCCGGCCCTTCCCTCCCCGCTGAGGAGCGACGCGGGCTGGCGGGACGTCCCGAGAAGGCCAGCCGCTCGCAACCACGGCCCGGCTCGGCCCGGGCGCGCCGAGGAGCGGAGCCAGCGGCCGGAGTTCGCTCAGGCTCCCTCCCCGGCCCGCCGGAGCCGAGGGCGGCTGCTTCGGCTGGAGTCTCGGGGCGACGCCTTCCTCGGCCGTAGCTTCCTGCTGCGCTCCCCGACTTCACTGAGCTCCAGCGGCTGGGAGAGAGAGCTCGCCTATCAGGTAAGCAGGGCTGCGGGTTCCGAGGCTCCGGCTCTGGCTCTGGCGGGCGTGTTTCTGAAAGTTGATTTGAAATGCATCCAAGAGTGAGCCGGGCCAGCCACGGCTCCTCCCTGAGGCGACTCCTTTGCTCCTGCAGACATTCCCGGCACTGGCCGACCGGCGGGAAGACCTCCCCGCGCGCCCCGCACGCCGGCTCCCGCGCGCCCCCCAACCCCCCGCTAGAGCGCAGCGCCGAGAGTCCGGAAGCAGGCGGGACCCTCTCCCGGCCCCTTACTCTGCCCCTTCCCGGTCCCGGGCAGGTGAGGGCTGCAACCGGGGGGTCGCAACGCGAGTCGCTGACCCCGTTTTCCCGCGTGCCTAGACCCGCTCGCTGCGCGAGGGAGGGCACCCACTCCTTTTATCCCCATCATACCCCAGTAGCTGGGTTCCTGCAGAGACGTCCCTAGGACCCACGTTCGTATAGGTTGGGGCGGAGTCGGACTCGGGATGGAAAGCCTGGGCTGGGGACAGAGGTGCTGGGGCAGGGGGGGCGGGCAGGAGAAGGAGAAACGCAGTTGGGGGGCGGAGGCCTAAGTACATAACGCGTAGACTTCATGTGAAATCAGATCAGTCAGAGCAGTGCGCTGTGACTGTCTCTCCTCCCACCCTGCGTTTCTCTTGGCTGGACTCTACTCTCCCTGCTCACTCTGGTCGCCCTGGTCACTCCCTCCGTTCTTTCCCAGGAGTGCGGCGGCTGCGGGCGCCGAGTCCCAGCGGGCACCGACGCCAGACGCATCGTTTCCTCTCCTCTGCAGGTCTTCCCAGCTCTGCCCGAACATGCTGGACGGCCTGAAGATGGAGGAGAACTTCCAAAGTGCTATCGAGACCTCGGCCTCCTTCTCCTCGCTGCTGGGTGAGTGTTCAGGCCACGCTTACGGGGCGCACCCTCTATGCACCCGAATTTCCGCCAAGCCCCGAGCTCTGGAGGCCAGCTGGCTGGGACCCGATCGGCGATGGGGGAGCTAGCGCCCGGCTTCATGCACTCAGTTGAGCCCACTCACTGTTCTTCAGTCCTTGTGGGTCTTCCCTACCCAAATACAATCAACAAGCTGCCCCAGGCCACATGAGCTGGGCACCGAATTCCCCAAAGCGGCGAGGGGCGGGCGAGCCTGTTCGTAGGCGCGTGAGTGGCAAGTGATTAAAAATACCCGGGGCTGGATTTTTAATCACAGAGCTGATCGACGTCTCATAAATGCCACCCTCTTCTCCGCGGCCTAGGGGCGAGCATCCGAGACCCAAGGCCCAGAGCGTCCAAGTTCGAGGCGGCTTCTCGCCCCACCAACTCCAGCCCCAATTTCAGCCTTGGGCACGACGGAGAGACTTTTCCGGGCCGGTGGGCAGCGCAGCGCGGGGATTAGCCTGCGCGGCAGGGCCCTTGCCTCGGCTTTAATTAACTGGAGCTGGATCCCGGGTCCGGTGGGTCGCCCCCTCCCCAACTCCTTCCCAGCGATTGCAGAGGAGCAGCGAGTCAAGGGCCCCTGAAGAGTGTCCACACGCGGGTCTCGAGGAGCTCAGGCCAGGGATGCTGGTTCCGTCCCCCTCCTCCGCCCCGTCCTTAGTGATTTTCAAGTTTGGGGAGCGGGCGTTTTATTTTATTTTTTAGCTGGAGGGATTTTTCGTTTTGTCATTTAAACCTCTTGCCTCTTGGCTTCACTCGGAACCGCTAGAGTGGGATGAATGTGGAGGAGGAGACAGTTCGGCTGGAGAAACCATATCCACAGAGGAATCTCCCCGCCCCGCACCCCAGATGAGACGAAATCACGTACACTGCTCTCCCCTCTTTCAACCCCGCTTTCGAGAACGTAGGGACTCTGTCCAGCCTCGGGGAGGCCAGAGTCAGCACTGCCCCGGCGGGCGGCGCGTGCGGATTTAGGTACACAGCCGGCGTCGCCCTGTGTCCTCGGCCAGACCGGTGTCCGCTCCTAACGCCTGGGTCGTGGCCCAGGACGCCGAGACCCTACAGAAAGAAAGAATTTTAAAATTGAGAACTACCTCGCTGCTTTTCCTAGCCCTCTTTGCCCGCTCCCCAAAGCGGCGGCACAGCTCACCAGCCCGCGGCCCGGCCCCTGAAAGGGAAATCGAGATGAGTGTAGCAGGGCAACGGGGAAGGGTCAGGCCCTTTGGGACACCACGCGCGAATGTTGTTCCTGGGGAACCAGGACTTCTCTAAACAGCAGTGAAATGTGCAGACTAATGCGGCTAAGCGTCCTCCCTTGAAAAAAAGCAATCACCCTCACCCCAGCAAACTAAGGGAACAAAACATAAAAAGTCCAAGAGGTGGGAGGGAGTGGATTCCCTGCTCGCACTGAGTCGCTTTGGGGACCGTTTCGCCTCCACGCACGGCTGCTGAGCTTGTTTGGTTTCTGGAGTCGTGGCCGGGACACTAAGCGGCGTCTCCGCGGCCTGCTTCTTCCCCCTATTTTTTTCTGCCCTCTCTTTTGACGCTTCTTAATTATTAAAAAAAAAAAGCCATCTGTAACTTGCACGCCAGTTAAGACGCTGCGGTTTAGGGTTCATCGGTTTGAACAATACTGGGTTTGCCTGGGGGCAAGTCGGTATTTTACTGTAGCCACAGGACTTTTCAGGAAGAGAAGAGAGACCTGTTAAAGTTTCCATCAAAAATAGAATAGAATTGCATTTTAACAAAAGACAAAACCAAACAAATTATTTTTACTCATTCTCAGTTTAAAAATAGTCACCAGAGACAAGCATAGTGAGTGTTTTAATGATTAATTACGACGCTATAAACCTGGGAGTACAATTTATTTGTTATCTAGTTTTACTGATGCGCGCACGTTTGTGCGCATACCTGGGTGTATTTGATAATTAAAGGGCACTTATTGATTTCCGCCCTGTTCCCCGGCTAGGATTTAAACCTTCCCACATTGTCCCTGTTTATTAGAAATGCCACTTGATTTGATTTTTCCAAGTCTCGGCTTGGTTGATTAGCAGAGGGCTCCCTGGGGTGGGGGACGCGCGGGACATCCGCGGGTGTGAAGGGATCGGGAGCGGGTCCGGCCGGGTTTGGCAGGGCCGACCAGCCGGGGCGGCTCACCCGCGAACGTCTGTTGCGGCTGCAGGCAGAGCGGTGAGCCCCAAGTCTGTCTGCGAGGGCTGTCAGCGGGTCATCTTGGACAGGTTTCTGCTGCGGCTCAACGACAGCTTCTGGCATGAGCAGTGCGTGCAGTGCGCCTCCTGCAAAGAGCCCCTGGAGACCACCTGCTTCTACCGGGACAAGAAGCTCTACTGCAAGTACGACTACGAAAAGTAAGTGTCCGCGCGGCGGGGGCGCTCCCCACGCACTAGCACCAGTGTGCGCCGGCGACGTTGTCCTCCCTTACCTCCCTCTCCGCCCCCGCTTCTGAAAGGCTCAGGAGTCACCCGCACTCCCAGAGACGCAGAGGTCCGCTTCATCCCAGTCCTGTACACTCCCGGCGGGAGCGAGGAGTGACAGAGATCCGTGCGCGCAGCCATGGCCCGCGTCCCGCAGAAGTGCGCGCGATCGCTCCCCTCCCCTGGCCGCTTGGCTAGTTTTTAGTTCTCCCGGACCCCTTCCCCCGACTTGGTCATTCCCAGAGGCCACGCTTTGTCAGGGGCCTCCGACCCCTTCAAGCTTGGTCCCCTTGTTCCTCGGGGTGCTCTGCGGGCTGCAGTGACCAGTGTCTCCTTGTTCGTTCCCACTCGGTCTTACCCTGGCGCCTGCACCACCGCGCGCTTGTGCCTGGCGGTGCCGGGCGGTGAAGCTGTACTGACCCCAGGGCTTTCTGTCCCCTGTCCGCATTTCCGGCTGCGGTTTGTCCCCTGGAGTCCGGACAGATTGGACTCGGAAACCGCGCTGCTGCCGCTCGAAGCTAAGCGCACAATGTGTTCGTCTTTCCTCTCCCTGCCTCCCTCCCGGGTTTCTGCAAAGCCCTCGGGCCAGGGGCTGTTAGACCAGTAGTTGAGGCCCGACCTGAAGCCCTGTCCTCCAACCTAAGCCTTCACCGAGGTCCGGTCGGGGTATACTCCTCTGCCGCGGAGCGGGTTCTGTTCCCTCCGGTTCACACGAACGTTCTGATGCGTTTTGAGGAGAATCGGGACGCAGGTCTTTAAGAAAGTGGATTATTTCGAATCTAGATTTCTGTGATGCCTGAAGCCTGGATGAGGCCAGGGAGTGGGAGGTGGAAGAATTTCCTTATTCTCCACGGGCTTTTCCTTGCGAAAATGGCTAATGAATAGGGGCATTGCTTTGGCAGGGCTGTGAAGGTTACCGAGGAAAGAAAAGCGCCCGAATCCGAGGCCTGTGTTTTTGCACATTGGGACTGGTATATTCTGACTGTGTGTGAGCGCGCGTGCACGCGCAGGATCATTCTACATTTGTCACTGGTGAATAAAAGGGAGCTATATGCGGATAATCCAAGGAGGGTTAGTGCGAGTCAAAATCAGTTCCTATCCTGTTACTAAAAACATACAATGAAAGGGGGGGTGCAGGAGAAGTTCCAATGTAACAAAAAGCACTGAGAAAGAACAGAAATATCTTCTTTTCCGTGTTGTCTGGGCTATGAGGTATTCTAAAAACTGACAAAGTGATTTGTGACCACAGGAAAAAAAATTACTTCTGCCACTCAGTGGTCCTTTGCTTAAAATGCTTGAATTTCCCCCCAGTTGGAGAGGGTACTAGACATTTTGTTGTTGTTGTTTTGAAAAGATTAATAACTTTTTTTCAGGACTAAAATATGTGCTTGGTTTTGGATGAGTTGGACAATACAGAGATATATAAGGAAGTGAACAGTCCTTATGACCATGTTCCCGAAGTGATAATTATGCTTAACGTTTTGAAAGAAGATATGCCTGTCTCTGTTCTTGGTTGTCTGTTTATTGCCACAGTGTCTGAGAGAAAAGTGTGATTTTTAGGTAACTAAGCAGATTTTGCCCACACAACTTCAAGTATCACCTTTGAATAAAGCTTCTGGTAGATTGCTCACTGCCCTCCCACCCCTTTGCTTTTCATCCAAAGGTTCGCGGGTATTGTGTGGGCCCAATCTTTAACTTTCTGCTTATAGATTACTGAAGTGTCCACATCATTCAGGCACAACACTAGCAAATTCACAAGTATTGGAGCTTAGGAAAGGATTTGGGTTGTGAATTTCTATTCTGTTTGTTAAAAAAAAAAAATCACGAATCAAAGAAGGCTTAAGGGTCAACACAGCTGTCTGGCCAGTCAAATCTTCTTTAAGGAAGTCAGGCTGTGTCAAGAGGAGAAGAAACAGTTGTCGTAAAGTACTTAACACAACAATGTCCCTTCCATTTCATCCCTCCAGGTTTGGCGCGGTTCGGGCTTATTAGCTCCTAAGGGTCAGTTCTCTCCTCACAAAGCTATTTCTGCAAAGGGAAAATTGGAGGGATCAACTTGGCAGCTGTTGGCCAGAACCGAGAAGATTTTATAGAGGGATATAAGCTACATTGTTCAGAGAGGTGTTGATGTTACAGTGAAGAATTTTCATTTTAATTTAAAAATATTTTTTGAAATACCGATGTCCAAAATCGAATTGCACGTCCTCTTTAGCTCAGGGCATGTTAGCAGTCCTGGTCTGTGCCCAGCCTATCAATGGCTTGTTAGGTTAATTTAGATTAATTTATTTCTTTTAAAAATTCCTTTTTTTCTACTCTACCCCGCATCCAAATCCCATTCTTTTTCCAACAAAATAGGGTATTAATACATTCAATCATGTTAATGGTGTTAGTCTGCATGGTAGTGCTGCAGGAGAGAAAGGAAGGGTGGTTTTGTTTTGTTTTGCTTTTTGTAAAAAATTAGGCTCAGGGCAAATTCCTTTATTTAACAAGTTTTGTGGAGCTTTTATATGCAAGACACTGGGCTAGATGAGGTGAGGATAGTGAGAAAAAGTCTCAGAGCCTGCCTTCAGGAGGCTTATAGCCAAGCACTTTTCCACTTGTGTTGCCTAACTATCAAGCATTTCTCAGCAGCTCCCTCTACTCAGAGTGCAGGACTAGGTTTGCACAGAAACTATCTGGAGTGGCCAGATATTTATCCTCCAGAGGGATACAACTCAATTTTAAACAATAGTCATGAAATAGTCACAGAAATCATTTTTTCTCTTTAAAAGCTACATTTATAAAAATAGCTTTGCTTTTTTTGGTGGCTTTTTAAAAAATTTGAGAGAGGGGAGAAAGAAAATGAGACAGAAGTTAAGTGGTAGGACAATGTTATTGGTAACGTAGGGAACACTTAATAAAAAATGAAGAGACAGGCAGCACCCTGGTCTCCAAAATTCATGAAGTTCAAATACTATTTCTACACATTTAAATGGAAGAATATATAGCTAATGTCCAGTTTTCTATGACAATCATAAACATAATATTAACAGAGCAGATTCATCGTATTTATTTTAGCCATGCATATGTGCATTTCTGGCTGTTGGGCAGTTTTGCGTTTGAATTATCAGCTATGTATCCATGGTGTTGGCCAGTTAAAAAGTGAAAATTTCATTCTATCAATTAATTGTTACACCTTCATGATGTCAAGCCCTACATTTTTTTAAATTAAAAAACATTGAATTGACAGTGGTGTCTTAGACACACAACCATTCATTTGAAGACTTTAGGATCTTTGATTATTTGTCTCATGTACTATGACACCCTTAGGAATAATTTGTCTTCTGATTGCCCAAAACAAATAAGCATTTAAAGCAAGAGTGTAGAACACTGATTTATGAATGCTCAGAAATTAAGAACCGGAGGCGACATTTATGCAATCGATGAAGCTGTACATGCCGTATGAAACGTTAGGGTGCGATAGGTGTGACTGTTTAAAAACTGGATTCAACTGTCTTCAATGTTCCTGAAAGTTAGCAGACAACCAAAATATTTTCCAGCCTAGGGGACTTCTATTTATATAACTGTTGTTCCCTGTTTAACTGAGTCCTCTATGATCTGGTTAGTTTGGAGTTTTCCCTGAATGTGTTCCAAACAAATTCTGCAGTTGGACTTCAGTCTGAGGTGGAAGAGACTGCTGAATAACGGGAACGTGGTAATACAATAGATAATTAAGCCTTCTGGAAGGGATCCCACACTTAAATCAAGTTTAGATTGTTTCTTTCATGTGCCTGGCGCTGCGTGGGCCAGGCGGGGCCTCTCCCCTCACATATGAAGTTTATCATGATCCCTTGGATTGTTCTGCACATCCTAGGAGCAATGTGGAATAGTATTGCTGTCATCAGGGCTGTTCTCACAACATCGTAATTCCCCACATGTCAGCAAATCACAGGCCTTGGGAAACCTTTCCTCAGAGAGCGGGTTGATATTTCCTTCCCTCTCCTTTGGAGCAGACCAATTTTCCAAAGAAAGGGGAAAAAAAGGGGGTGGGGAGTGGATGTCACACTTAAGAGTTTTCTCTGTGTCTTTCTTTTGATTCCACAGTGAAAACGACTTAGGTAATGATATCTATTAGGGTCAGTAATGAACTAATTCTGCGTTTTATCAAGCTGGTGTAGGAGGGGTGTGTGTAAGGAGCAATGCATTTGGTTTTATTACAGTGACATTACTTGGAGATCAAAATTGGGCATGCAGTTACTCATAAAAGTGGCCCACAGATGAAATTACAGAGGCAATTGTTAGATTTTTGCTTTATCTTTTGTTGGCACTGCTCCGGGCACAATAAAATTTAAGGAATATAAGAATCAAACACAGCTAGGTAATAAACTGACGTCTGTGTTAAATTGCAGGGGGCTTAGCTCGGCACAAGCACAGTCCATGGGTTATGGCTATGTTTGCGCAGGCAGCTTCTCTCTCTCTCTCTCTCTTTTTAATTTTAGAGGGTGATTGGAAACATTCCTCGCTCAGAGGTGTTTTCTCTTTTTCTATGTATTGGTCCCTGGGTAAGACTTTCTTGGAATCCAAGACTCAAAATTTTGAAATAAAACTAGATAGCAGAAGTAGATATTAATAGTATTCTGGGAATTAAAATACTAGATATGAACATTCCTTTTTAGAGTAGGCTTATGGGATTTGTTTGATCCTTACATAAATGGAACACATTTAAAACAGTTATTTATCCAGTCTGGTTTTACATACTGTAGAGTTTTGGGACTTTTGTTATCTACCTGGGTAGGAAGCAGCTTTTGATATTTGGATATCAGTGACAAGAGCTTTTCTGATTCTTCATTGTTTTCTTGCTTTTTAGTTTCATCTTTCTTATTTATAACCTTTGTATTAACCAACAAACTCTTACTAATTTCAGGAGGCCTCTTCATTGTTGCTTTTTAAATCTG